GGAACAAACACAACCCCCAGTCCAATGGCCTATGTTGAAGGCACAGAGTCTTCCTTTTGATGCCTAAGGACCGATTTGAAGGCGCTGGGGTCTCCTCAACGTTGTCCAGGGTGATCTGGACATGAAGCATGAGTCCCAAGGGTTAAAACCTTAGAATTGGTGATGAGAGGTAACTTAATTAAGGGCTTTAGAGCCAAGTCTCTTTCTCACGTCTATCTGATAAAAGTTTGATGGTAGAATGGAAAAGGAAAAGCTCTGCCCTCCTGCAGGAAGAGGTGGAGCCAAGCAATTGAGCTGAGGACGCAATATAACTGGTGCAAACAACATTGATTGACAGCTATAAATAACCAATCAATCCAACTATACATTTACAAAATAAGCAAGTATGGGCATGTTATACAGTTTAAACCTTTGCACTTTAAAGTTCTACACACTGGTGGCGCCACTTGCGCCATCACAATACTACTCTGATTATGATTATTTGACTATCTGGCTTTGGATCTATGCACAATAGTTGTCTGATGTTTACATATATTGTTTTAAATTGTTGTTTAATTGCTTTTAATTGTGGTTGTTGTTTGAGCATGGAATAATGCCAATTATGTAAGCTGTCCTGGGTCTCCTTTGAGGTGAGAAGGGCAGTATATAAATAGCGTAAATAAATAAATACTCTGGACATACAGGATTGTGGCCAGAGATAATTAGGACCATAAGTTCCAACTGTTACTCAATGCAGGATGCAATGGTAGCAGGCATGGAGAACCTTTGAAATGGTCAACATTTCCTAGCTTTACACCATTAAGCTTTATTGCTGGCATTGCAGAGGGGTTCATTGGTGCCTTTTGCTGGTGGAGCACTTTGGTTTTCTCGATGTTCAATGAGAGGCCAAGCTTTTCACATACTTCTGCAAAGATGTTTAAAGTGGCTTGTAGGCCTTCCTCTGAATGAGCACAGACTACATTATCATCAGCATATCGGAGTCCTATGACATATATTGTTGTGACCTTACTTTTGGTTTGCAGTCTGCTGAGGCTAAAGATATTGTTGTCATCTTTCAGATTTCACTAGTGGGAAGCTTCCTGTTAACAACAAATCGCTGCTTGTTGTAAGGCTGCCCCGAGTCCCCTTCAGAGTGAGAAGGGCAGGGTACAAATGTGGGAAATAAATAACTAAATAAACTAGGTGTAGAATCATAGCTATGATTTTTTTTTCGGGTCAGAAGTGACTTGAAAAACTGGAAGTCACTTCTGGTGTGAGAGAATTAGCTGTCTAGAGGGATGTTGCCCAGGGGATGACCAGCTGTGTTACCATCTTGTGGGAGGCTTCTCTCAGATTCCCACATAAGAAGCTGATGCTGACAGACGGGAGCTCTCCCTGTCTCGTGAATACAAACTACCGAACTTCAGGTCAGCACTTCAGCCGGCCTAAGGGTTTAACTCATTGTGCTACTGTGACTCTAGCTATGAAAATAGAAAGTAAGGTTGGGGCAATAATGTATCCCCGTTGACACCTGATCCCACCTCAAAGGGGTTGCTTTGGGAGCCATTGCTGATCAGAATCGTTGCCATCATGGAGGAGCCACAGGATGTTCACAAATTTACCAGGGGATCTGATTTTCAAGAGGATGGTCCAGGGAGCATTATGATTCACTGTGTCAAATACCTTTGCAAGGCTCTGTGGAGCCTAATCTATATAAATAAAAATGTAATGTTCGTTTGTGGGAGTAACTTAACTCAAAAACCACTGGACGAATTGACACCAAATTTGGACACAATACACCTATCAGGCCAACGAGTGATCGTCACTCATAAAAACACTGAAAAGCACAGCAGAAGAGACTTAAAAAGTAAAAAAAAACCCATTACAACGTATGTGCAAAACCATATATATATATATATATATATATGCAAACACATATATACACATACACAAAACACATATACACAGACTGGGCCACAGCAACGCATGGCAGGGGGTGGCTAGTGAATTATAAATTCCTTTTCCCAGGCTTCCAAGTCTGAAGTCTCAACAACATGCTGAGGAGACCACAGGTCCATGCATTTTAACCTTCAGCAAAGGAAAGCCTACCAGTTCTAACATCAGTCTTTTCTACTGTCAAATAGCTTGTAAATCTAGGATGTTTCTCAGAATGTTTATCTGAGATCTCCCCCTGAAGTGACTGTTTAATTTCTTGTGTTGTACACCTTCAGATATTTGAAAATAACTGTCACATACTTCCTCACACAAAGGCCCTACTTTGGGGACTTTAGTCTATGTGACATGAATCCAAGACAAACAATTTCCGATGGTTCGTGCAGATCCAATACATCGGTTTGTGAGTGTTTTCCTTTTTGACAAAAAGTGTTGTAATTTCCTGGTTTCTCCCAAAGAAAGAGGTTAGCCATCAAGAGATATAAAGGCAAAGTCTGAATAGAAGAATGTCATCCTGCTTTAACTCCAGGCTTGTGAGTGATTCATTACATTTTTTGTTGTACTAAAGTAGACGGTGTGGCACAGTCCGATTAAGAAAGAAAAGGATTATGGAAGTTGTTTTCTTCTGATACGCCTGCGATCAATAAGAAAGTAATGAGTCCATCGTAAAACCAAGTTGGAATAGGGATAATTGGTGATTGGAAAGGTTGGTTCATTCACATAAACTGAGTCAATAAATACTCCTTTTGTCATGCTGGGATTGGTTGAATCTTTGTTTGCTAACCTGTGGGTGTTTCGGAGAATAATGGCAGTGAATTGTCTTGAAGGATGGCCACACAGTAGGGGCTTCTGCAATAGGGTCCAGGAGACACAATTGTTCACTATCAGAGATCATTGCAAGTGTTTATATATGAGCATGCAATTGTTTAGAGGGTGATGTAACCAAAAAGGGAAAGAAGAGGGCATCCCCAGACCAGGAAAACATCACCACCAGGGACCAGACGTGGGAGGAAGAAGGGGAAACCCATCTCAGGGTTTGTTTTAGGGCATGAAAATCCCTTAGCATCACTCCATGTGCTCTTTGGAGGAGGTTCTGCATTCCTCTTCATATATAGAGGGATCAGCCTTGAAGTTCTTGAATATGCGTGAAGTCTTCCAGGTCTGGGTTGCTGTGAGTTTTCTGTGCTGTATGGCCATGTTCCAGAAGCATTCTCTCTTGACGTTTCACCCACATCCATGGCAGGCATCCTCGGAAGTTGTGAGATCTGTTGGAAACTATCTGTTGAATGTCCAGGGTGGGAGAAAGAATTCTTGTCTGTTTGAGTTCTTTCACTTGTCTAGTTTCCAACAGACCTCACAACCTCAGAGGATGCCTGCCATAGATGTGAGCGAAACGTCAGGAGATAATGTTTCTGGGACATGGCCATACAGCCTGGAAAACTCTCGGCAACCTAATAATAATAATAATGATGATGATGATGATGATGGTAGGTTGTTGTAGTTTTTCTATATGGCCATGGTCTAGAGGCATTCTCTCCTGACGTTTCGCCTGCATCTATGGCAAGCATCCTCAGAGGTAGTGAGGTCTGTTGGAACTAGGAAAATGGGTTTATATATCTGTGGAATGACCAGGGTGGGACAAAGGACTCTTGTCTGCTGGAGCTCGGTGTGAATGTTTCAACTGACCACCTTGATTAGCATATAATGGCTAATCTTCCAGGTTTGTTTTCAGATCTTCCAGGTCTGTTTTCAGAGGCACTGAAGACATCAATTTTAATGGAACAGCAGAGGTTCACAGTGCTGGACTCCATCCATCACATATATCTAATATTTTGAATACCTCCATTAAAGTTATAAGGAACATATACAGTGGAACCTCCACATTTTCAGATTTCGTTTTTGTGGATTCATACACTTGATTGATATGTTCTCACTAGGAATCTCTAGTTCCTAGTGAAGCTATAGGCTGACCATTGATTCATGCTGAAGGAGCTAGAGAGAGTATCTCTCTATATATATGAGAGTACACTCTAAGTCCTGCAGTGTGACCCTATGATAAATTTCAGGTAGAAGTTCTCTCAAGTTTTACAGAATAGCATTTTAAAATTCAGTTTACCCATTTTTGCAGAGGTCCTGCACCCCTAAGCTTTGCAAAAGTGGGCCTCCTACTGTAACTCTGTCATTGAAAACACATCCTAGTTTCTGTACCCAATTAGCATGCATAGTTGTTTTGGTTGCAGCTGATTTTTTTTAAAATGTAGTGGATTTTGCAAAATTTTCTGATATTTCACCTACAATATTGTGGTCTGGTCTGGGATGGAAGGAGGTCCAGGGGAGGCGACACACATGGATTATCACACTGGGGTTTTTTTCTTGTCAGGAGCAACTTGAGAAACTGGGTTGTTGTAGGTTTTTTCAGGCTATATGTCCATGTTCTAGAGTAGCGGTTCTCAACCTGGGGTCCCCAGATGTTTCTGGCCTACAACTCCCAGAAATCCCAGCCAGTTTACCAGCTGTTAGGATTTCTGGGAGTTGAAGGCCAAAAACATCTGGGGACCCCAGGTTGAGAACCACTGCTCTAGAGAAACTGGTTTCTGGTGTGAGAGAATTGGTCGTTTGCAAGGACGTTTCCTATGGGACGCCCGGATGTTTTACCATCCTGTGGAAGGCTTCTCTCATGTCCTCGCATGAGAAGCTAGAGCTGACAAATGGGAGCTCAACCCACTTCCCAGATTTGAACCACTGATCTTTCGGTCAGCAGTCCTGCCGCCACAAGGGTTTAACCTATTGCGCCACTGAGGGCTCCTGTCAAATTGGGTGACACCAACCTTAGTGATGTCACTGGTTGAATTCATGCTAGGTTCTAGTCTGAACTTGAAATTTGTCCAGCACACTGAATCTTTTTGAGGAAGCAAGCTCAACCATCTGGACATCTGCCTTCAAGTTTGGACTAAAGCCCACCATGAATGCACCAACCCTTCCATTAACGTACCCCACACTGACTTACCGTACCTTGGTTGATCTTCTGTTTTACTTATCCCCCCTTCTTTTTCTCTCCCCAGTTATTTTTTTACTATTAGGAGTAAAGGCCAGTACAAAGAAGAATCAGGATGAAAAGATGGCCAACTTCCTGTTACCACTGGGTTCCAACAGCTTCCACCGGTTCACACCCGAGTCCTTGGCTGCGATCGAGAAGCGAATCGCAGAGAAGATCGCCAGGAATGCCAAGCAGGAATATAGGGAACAGTTGGTTGAAGAGGAAAAACTGCAGCCCCAGTTTGACTTACAGGCCTGCAAGAAGCTACCCGATCTCTACGGGTCTCCTCCATCACAGCTCATTGGCGAACCGCTGGAGGACATTGATCCTTTCTACAGTGATCACAAGGTCAAACCCATCAGCTCTGCATTTATTCTGAAAGAAGGTGGAGGGAGTTGAAGAGGAGATGGGGTGGATCTCCCTCCCTTTCTCACTGTCTTTCAGTGCAAATAATCTGTGGTTTAAAGATCTCAGAATTAGCGTGAAGTTAAATTATGGGTGCTTAATGTTTTGAATTTGGATGACTTGATTTCAGGTGGTGGAGATTGCTATGCTTTTAAAATGATGGAGGCCCATACCTTCCAATGGTCTCGATTTGGCAGTGGGAGTCCCAGTTAATACTCTGCTCCCCCATTCTTTCAGCAACTTTTGTCCAATTCCTCTTTTTTCATGCTTTTTGACTTTGTCCTTCAGTTCCTGCAAATGAAGTTCAAAGTGCAAAAGTAGTTTGCACTCCTATAACTCTCCACAGTAGGGTCAGGCAAAAGTAAACAATAAAATAATAAAACAATGTAGTTTATTTATATTCCACCCTATCTCCCCAAGGGGACTCAGGGCGGATTACAGTATGCATATACGCCAAACATTCAATGCTGATTATACAATTAACAAGACAGACAGTACATAAACAGAGGCAAAGGCTTCCCATCCTTTCCCACCTGTGGCATCTGGAGACTGTGCTTGACTCCAGCCATGGAGTTGCTCCATCTTCCATGCTGAGGAGCTATGTTGTCCTTAAATGCTCCCAATCCAATTGCCAACATGTCAGCATGGGTACCTTTTATTACCTCCCTGCCAAAGCAGTACCTATTTATCTACTCACATTGTTGTTTTCAAACTGCTAGGTGGGCAGAAGCTGGGCTGACAGTTGGGAGCTCACTCCAACCCAATCTCCTAGCTTGTGTGTTCGTCCTCATTGTTGCTTATTTGTTCAGTCACTTCTGACTCTTTGTGACCTCATGGACCATCCCACGCCAGAGCTCCCTGTTGTCTGTGGCCACCCCCAGTTTCTTCAAAGTCAAGCCATTCACTTCAAGGATGCCATCCATCCATCTTGCCCTTGGTCGGCCCCTCTTCCATTTTCCTTCCATTTTCCCCAGCATCATTGTCTTCTCTAAGCTTTCCTGTTTTCTCATTATGTGGCCAAAGTGTTTGTCCTCATTGATAACTTTTGCCATTGTGATGTTGCTTGGCCACATGTATCCCAGTTTTCCTCTCTGAAGTATTGCAAAGTATGGGGAGCCTCACACCGGTTGCAACTTGGTTGTTTCATCTCATTCAGAAACTTTGGCTGGTTCTGTTTTGATGGCATGCTGCCTCACTTATCCAATGCCTAAAAGCCTGCTGAAGATATTTAAAGTGCATTCATTCATACATGGCAACTAAAAGTGAACCATGAATTGGTAACCTGAGCTTCTTTGGGGATCCTAGTTATTTCCATGTACTGGGTGAGAAGGTCTATCTGGAAGAACAACTGGGCAGCAGCTAGAGCCCATAAAGTGAAGATGGGATAGAGATTAGTCCCAGTTTCCTTTACGGCTAAAGTGTGCAAGCCATGGCATCACTAGTGTTGGTGTCACCCAAGGTTCTTCTTTGAGGAGGAAAGGCCCTGTTGAAGGACAACAATAGCCAAGTTCTAATGTGTGGTTGTACCACTTTGGCTTAATCAAAGTTCTGCCCTACAGTAGGCTTTCAGTTAACTGGAATTCAAGCAATTGGATCTCAAGCAACTGGTAAAAAAAACTTAAAGAAATACAAATCTAAATTCAATCAGTGTTGACTACCATTTAATTAAAGTTCCATACTAAATTCCCAAAGTTTTTCTTACAATACAATAAATCTGAGCAACATAAGTTGACTTTGTCCTTAATTGTCTTAATGTGCTTTTAATAACTATATGTCAATATTAATACTTTGGGTTGTTGTAGGTTTTTTGGGCTATATGGCCATGTTCTAAAGGCATTTTCTCCTGATGTTTTGCCTGCATCTATGGCAAGCATACCTCTGAGGATGCTTGCCATAGATGCAGGCGAAACGTCAGGAGAGAATGCCTTTAGACCATGGCCATATAGCCCGAAAAAACCTACAACAACCCAATGATTCCGGCCATGAAAGCCTTCGACAATACAATATTAATACTGTAACTCAAACAACCAGAAATGACATTTGTTCAGCATCTATCAATCCCCATGGATGCCAGTTAACTGAGAGTCTACTGTATTTCCTTGTGGTTCTGGTTCGGTGCCTTTACTTCTCTGCCAAAACTGAGCAAAAAGCAGAAATTCTATAAGACTCTGCGACTTCCCAGTCCCATCTTTCAGAAGTTACAATGGGGAAACGTTTAACCTGCTCAGCTTCTGCTTGTCTGTTGGCTTTCAAGACAGAGCAGCCCTGAAAAAGAGAGTTATTTCGGGGTAGGTGGGAGGAGGGTTCCTGGTCCAAAAGCGAAAGGTCCTTTGTGCCGTTAAAAGACACGGGAAAAGTAGGCTACCGCAAACCTCACTGTCTTTCTCCCCACCCCACCTTTTCTTTTTTGTTCCTGAAGCAAGAATAGCCATTCACACTTGTGGATTTTGTAAAACCTAAAAATTTGGTCAGCCTGTTCCTTTGGAAGGGGGAAAATAAGAACACTCCACTATATAAAAAGGGACGCATGCCCAGCCCACTCTTATGGAAGAAAACTGGTCAAAATCCAGTTGGAGACTTGCATAATGAGGTACCTCCAGGTGCAACTACACAGTAAGAATAATGCAGTTTGGCACCACTTTTACCACCATGGCTCAATGCTATGGAATCATGGAAGTTGTGGTTTGATGAGTCACCAGCATTTTTTTGGCAGAGAAAGCTTTTAAAACATTGAGTTGGTGGATTCCATCGCCTTGAGCCATGGCACTTAAAGTGGTGTCAAACTGCATTAATTATATAGTGTAAATGCACCTTGAGATCCCTTTCTGCAAGTCCACAGCAACAAGGCCCCATCTACAATGCAATACAATGCAACTGAAACTGCATTATATAGTCAGTGTAGACTCATAATGCAGGTCAATGCACTTAAACTGCATTATATGGTCAGTGTAGACTTATAATGCAGTACAATGCAGTTGAAACGGCATTATATTGTCAGTGTAGTCTCATAATACAGTTCGATGTAATTGAAACTGCATTATATGTTCAGTGTAAACTCATAATGCAGGTCAATGCACTTAAACTGCATTATATGGCCAGTGTAGACTTATAATGCAGTGCAGTGCAGTTGAAACTGCATTATATTGTCAGTGTAGACTCGTGTATTTATTTATTTATTTACTACGCTTATATACCGCAATTCTCAGCCTACTGGCGACTCATTGCGGTGTACAACATAGAAAAACAGGTGCAAAATACAACATAAAATAAAATAATCCACAGTACATAATTATCAAACATCTCATCAAAACATCAACCTTACTACAAGACCATTCCGAGTCTTCTCATCGTCAAATTCACAATCCGATACCATTTCCGTTGTTCCATTCCTATGGTCAAGTTACCAGTCATTGCACTTCTATTCAGTTTGATGTAATTGAAACTGCATTATATGGTCAGTGTAGACTTATAATACAGTACAATGCAGTTTCAACTGTATTATATTGTCAATGTAGATTCATAATGCAGCTCAAAGCAGTGGAAACTGTATTATATGGTCAGTGTAGACTCATAATGCAGTTATATGGGCAGTGTAGACCAATATTGCAATTCAATGCAGTTGAAACTGCATTATTTGGTAAGTGTGGACTCATAATACAGTTCAATGCAGTGGAAACTGCATTATATGGTCAGTGTAGACTCATAATACAGCTATATGGTCAATGTAGATCAATAATGCAGTTCAATGGTCAGTGTAGACTCATAATACAGTTCAATGCAGTTGAAACTGCATTATATGGTCGGTGTAGACTCATAATGCAGTTATATGGTCAGGGTTGACCAATAATGCAGTTCAATGCAGTTGGAACTGCATTATATGGTCAGTGTAGATTCATAATACAGTTCAATGCAGTTAAACTGCATTAAATGACAGTTTAGACAGGGCTTGAGACATATTACACTGTTCCTCTTTAGCTTGTCTGTGCCGGTTTCTCCACTTTCTGACAGCTTTACACCTGTGCTAGACCATCTTTCATTTTGTCTGGACTTTGCTCTCTCCTTTTAGTCTTCAAGAGGTGAATTTGTATTTCTGCCTGTAAATTCTGACCGTGGCTATTAGGCATCATTCCTCTTCCCCCAGAAAAGAAAAGGTAAAAATCTGGACTATTGAGCGCATCCCTTTGTCTGGTTACCCTTTCACTCTCCTTTCTTTTTTTTTGCAAAGCATATAATGCTCAGTCGTCCAGAGTTCTAAAGAGGAAAGGTGATAGAGCAATAACCTATTTCCCTGGTTTCCGAAGGATCTTACGGTGTGAGAGCTTTGAATGCAGACCCTGAATGTTTCTTTCACTCTCTCTTTTGTTTTCCAGACATTTATAGTACTGAACAAAGGGAAGACAATCTTTCGCTTTAGTGCCACTCCTGCCTTGTATATACTTAGTCCTTTTCATCGAATCAGAAGAGCAGCAATTAAAGTTTTGGTACATTCATATCCTTTGACTTGGATTTTTCTCCATCGCCATGTCTGCTGGGCACAAAATGATATGGGCGGCGTGAGTGTGTTCAGTGTTGCATTTATTGAAATTCACAATGAAATATTGTGTGTGTGTGTGTACAGGGGAATAATATTCCGAAAGTTAAATAATGAAGCTGAATTCTGCAATCTGTACAAACGATACCAGTTGAGGGTTGTTGTAGGTTTTCTCGGGCTATATGGCCATGTTCTAGAGGCATTCTCTCCGGACATTTCACCTCCATCTATGGCAAGCATCCTCACTACCTCTGAGGATGCTTGCCATAGATGCAGGTGAAACGTCAGGAGAGAATGCCTCTAGAACATGACCATATAGCCTGAAAAAACCTACAACAACTCAGTGATTCCGGCCATGAAAGCCTTTGACAATACATTGATACCAGTTGAATCATCTTCCCTACTTGCTGGCTATGAGATGGACCTATAAACAGAAATATGAATGGTCATAATGAGTTGGTTAAGCCTATCTATTTCTTCCAGAATGGAATGTAGGCGCTCATCAGGGATATAACTTTCTGCAAGTTTTCATTATTGTCGCAAGCAACAAATAATTTTAAACAAAATTTCTGTGAAAAAGTGTTGGAAAAATGCTCAAGTGTCTCCACAGAAAACTATATGCACTATCTGGTGTTTTCTATGGAAAGAAACCACATAGGAATATTGTGCAGAATAAGTCCGGAACTGGAAAAGGATCCTCTTTGCCATGATTTCCAAGTACTCAAAATGCCCACTTGGGATCATTTTGCAAACATTTTAAAATATTTTTCCATCTCACAGGTCTTGTTATGAAAAGTCCCTATAGTTAGATCTTGAAGAAGAGTCCAGAAATGTGGGTGGATATTAGACATGTGCATTTGGGGTAAACTTTGTCCTGTTTCAAGTCCCAGCTTTAATTGGGGGCCCATATTCTGTAGGCCTCCTAAAATTGGAAGGGTTGTTTTTGGTTCTTTCATTTTGGGGCCCGAAAATTGGACCATTCTGGGGGGAGGGCTTCCTACCCAATGGCTCTCCTTCCCAGTGTGTGTTCTTTTTACCCGGCTCTTGCTGTTTCTACTCGAGAGGAAGAGGCGCTCAGCTGTAGGTACTGGCAGGCGTGCACTTTCCGGGGCTGCCTGCACACCCCGCCACACACACACTCCCCTAGCAGCAAAGTGCTTCTTCTTGTAGAGTAAGAGGTGCTCAGCTGCAAGGATGCTCTGGGCCAGCTTGCCCCACCACAAACACCCTGCTACACTGTGTGTGTGTGTATGTGTGGTGGGGTGTGCAGGTGGGTCCAGAGCACACCTGCAGCCAAGCTCCGGGCCTGCCTGCCTACACACCCCTCCAAACACGCACTCTCTTTCCAAGGTAAGGAAGCAAGTTTGGATGCAGGCTTTCATATCAAGCAGATTTTCATGTGGGGAGGGGGCTTCCCATTTCGTGCTTCAGAAGAAACAGAAGACATGAAAGAAATGGTAGAAATAGTAGGAATGAATTCACATGTCTAGTGAATACATTGAGCTATATATTTGAGCTATATATTTATTTTAAATCAAAATATTCATTTGCAGTAGAAGCAGGCTTTTTTTTACAGCAAATAGGTCTACCTCAGCCTCCCTCTCCGTTAAACACTTTGGATGTATAACTACGGTAGGCCCCCCTTTCTTCTAGGAGTTAGGGACATATTATACTGCAAAACTGAAAGAATCATAGATTAAAAAAACCCCTATTTTTGAAAGAGAGAAGTCTAGGTTCTCCTTCTTCTAGAGTTGCCTTGGAAGACCTAGAGATTTCTTGTGTCCTCACCATGAATTTCTGGGTCCTCTAGCATAACTTTATGGTCAACTTCTCCTGGTATTTTGGATAAGGAATATTCAACGTAGAGTCACAGATCTACTGCAAATGTCCTAGGGAGCTTTTCCAAAGAGTTTCCTTTCTGTCTTCTCCCTAGTCCTGTTGTAAAGTGTGAGTGGTCTATTTTAGTTCTGCCCAAGTTCTCCTTGACCTCGGAATGATCCCTGTCTGTCAGCTCCTTCCTTGCATCAAGTTCGTTTCAAGATCCGGCTAGAGGCTCTTTAGCTTTTGGGCAGGCAGTTTGTTAATGGAGGCGAAGCTTTTCCAAGTCACTTTCCTTTACCTTCAGCAACTGCTCCTTCTGAGCAGAGGAATGTCAAAATCTCCTTGGTTTGGAGAGAGCCCTGTGCAAGAAGTATCCCAGGGTGAAGATGCACATAGATAATATGTCTTCTTAAAAGGAGGGTCAAGAGCTGGTCTAGACTTTCTCTATTTGATATACTTCCATCATTCCCATCTAGCAGCAGGTTGTGCCAATGTCAGTGGGTGCAACATCCACACATTGTGCTTTGAGCATTGGACTAGGACTCGGGAGAACAGGGCTTAAATTCCTGTACAGCTATGGAAACCCACTGGATGATCTTGGGCAAGTCACACTCTCTCAGCCTTAGAGGAAGGCAAGTGAAAGTCCTCTCGAAAACCACTGTTAGTGGATAGTGAATACTGTGTGTTAGTCCAAGCTTTAGAGGTGCTATCTAGGGGTGCATCTACACTGTGTAATTAAAACAGTTTGACACCACTTTATCTGTGGAATCATGGGATTTGTAGTTCAGTGAGGCACCAGCACTCTTTGTCAGAGAAGACTAAAGAGTTTGTGAATCTACAGCTCTGAGGATTCCATAGCATTAAGCGACAGCTTTTAAAGTGGTGCCAAACTGTATTAATTCTGCAGTGTAGATGGGCCCAAAGATGTGCCTACTTTGTAAAACAGAGTTCTGTGCCCTTGATTGCACCTTTAAAGTTCAGACTGAAACACACAGTGGATCTACTACTCCAGTGGTTTAGAATTATCTACCAGCTTTGTTTTATTTCTCCCAGCAAAAAAGAAATCCAATAGAAATGGATACAGAGATCCAGAATATTTTGCCCAGGCTAAGATAAATACACAGTCTTAGCCAAAAGAAAATGTGGCTGCCTGATTTTATTTACTGAGTTTGCCCTTTGCTCTGTTCTGTTGGGGTCAGTTTTCTCTCTCCCAACTCCATTCATGGGCCGCAAGACAAGCACACCTCATGACATTTCCTATGAGTCCTGGAGGGCGTTGCTTTTGGCTCGGTGGAGGCTGTCAATGCAATCAGATTCAGACCGTAAGGCAAGGCAAATGTCATTCTTTATCCAGATCTGAAGGCCTTCCGTTTGCAATCTCTCCTACTGCCTAACTATATTCTGGAGAGAATTCACTCTGCCTGTGCATGAGAGGTTCTCCCTGTGTGCATGAAAAGTGAAGATTGGTTTTAGCCAGGCTTGAACGTACTCTATAAACTCATGCATAAGTCTAGAAATTTCAGTTAAAAATCAGCCCTCAAAATGTGGGCTGATGCACCCACAGATCAATGTGAATTCTGCTATACTTCAACTATTCTTTTTTTTGAAAAGGAACCATCTTTTTCTGTGAGCAGAGTGGCAAGAAGGCCGTTCTTAGCCCATCCTGAATGATGATGTTCCTTTTAGAGATCCTAAAAGAAGCACCAAATCTCTCTGATGTGGTGCCACTTCTGGCCTTTTTGAGGAAATAATGGCATTGGCATCTGAGATGACACTGGGACTTTCCTTTCTCTGCAAATTATCCTAAACTTTTCCATTGGTCATACCAAAATCCATCATCTTGGTCCCCCAAATGTGACCTAGATTTAGACATGAGTTTCCATCTGACCCCTGAGATGACATTGTTGCTTTTCCCTCTCCACAGAGTTACCCACAGAGTCTTATCAAGTAACGTATCCATGGGGCATAATGTTGGCCCCCAAACCTGCCCTAGACTTATACATGAGAATATACAGTAGTTGCTCCATTCAGCTGGAAAACTCAAGTACTTAGAGGAGCATGTGTTTGTCCAACAGAAGCTTTGCTACCCAACTCCGTACCCAACCCGAACGGGAATATATATGCACAGATCTGTATGCAAAAGCACAGGCCTTATAACTCTAATTCAGCAAAGTGCTTGCATTATGGGTTGCTTTTTAAACAGATTATTAAAATGCATGTCACTCATGACTCAGCAAAGCATGTGTTTTGCTTCCGTTTGCCTTTGATGCCTTACCAAAAAGGAGGGAGTGTATACAGGATAAATGTGCATTTAATGAATTCGCCTTGTGTTTCAAGAAACATAGAAATCTGGAGCTTGGAGCTGGGTTTTGTGTCATGTGCTCTATTTAGGCCAACAACAACAAATCACAAACAAAACCATTTTTTTACAGCCTGTTTTAATTACTGATTGAACCAACAAGCTCTGTATTTACCATGAACATGGGAGACTCCAGAAGCTGTCGAACTACAATTATTATTAATTGTCCAAAACATGGCGAATTTACTTTTTTGGACCCCAACTGTCAGAATGCTAGAGCTGACGTGGCTAATGGTCATGGGAGTCTTAGTCTAAATAACTAACTTCAGCAAGCTCCATCCCTGTTAGTCCTCCCCTGGGACTCTTGATAACATGTGTGTTTCATGTTTACACTGTTAGTATTATCTCACATGAATCCATGGGTTGTACTGTCTCTACTCACACTAAATGCATCCATGGTGGCAGGGCCTGAAGAAAGGGATGCTCAAGGAAAGCCCAGAAGTAATCTCAGAGACCCTGTCTTCTCTGTTAGGAAATTCCTTGCAATTCTGACAGTAGTTCTTCAGATAGGAAGATGGAAAGAGGAACTAGGGTCATATCTACATTGACCTGTTATCACAAAGGCAGCCAGTGTGTGTGTGTGGGTGGGTGGGATTAGCCCTATAGTGGTTGCATGACATATGGAGCTTTTTTTTTTATCGTATCAGGAGCAACTTGAGAAACTGCAAGTCGCTTTTGGTATGAGAGAATTGGTCGTCTGCAAGGACGTTGCCCAGGGGACGCCGGGATGATTTGATGTTTTTATCATCCTTGTGGGAGGCTTCTCTCATGACTCGCA